TTACCACTGAACTTTGTTAACTCACTGTTTTACACCAATAAACCACATTATTTTTGCCTCCCTCTCACTCCATCTGCGACACTTGGGCTGTATTAACTGAATCCAGCCCCACCCTAATAAACAGTGTGAAAAAAGAAGCGATCAAGAAAACAGAACAGGAGACAGAACAACACATCTTAAGCCAGGTCTCCTTTGAAAGTTTACAAAGCGTTTCACAATGTATTATAATTTTACCCTCACTTAACTGGCTTAGAACTCCACTGCTGTTACTCCCGAAAGGCAGAATGACAGAACATAAATGGCTGGAGGAGAACCAAGACTGGCCTCCACACACTTTCTTCATCGCATTCGAATAGATCTATAAAACCAGGACTTTCTTAACATTAGGTCTTTTTTTTTTTTTTTCTTTTGCCAGCTTAACTCCGAATGCTTTTTCATTGCACTAGCCACTGAACTGGTACCTTCGGCAGAAAGCCAGTCTAGGGATGGAGAGCAGGCCAGGTAGGTCTGCTGCTGGTTCTGAACTGCAATGCCAGCTTAATTATAAATGTGCAAACCCCACTAACGTACAGCTGGTTAATACGTAAGCTTTAGGGCTGTGTATGGAAGGAGGACCGACGTATAAGCAACCTTGTCAGAAGCAGCTGCTTAACAACTACACGAAACAATTCCAAAAGAACTAACATCCAGCACCATCATAAAACGATGCCTAAACTGTAACGTGCATTTCAAGTTCCAAAGAGAACAATAAGAAGGTACCAAATCTCTACTGTATTAGAAATCTGAAAGTTACAGATCCCACACCAGGGGGACAGGCATGCCACGAATTTACTCGGGACTCTGCAAACCTGAAGGTGCCTGACTCTTGAAAGGTGGCTCTTCTGACACAGGACCTGATGCGCTTGGGTACTCAACTGAAAAGGATTACTGAAAACGCTAGAGCAGAGTTGGGAAGGCATGAACAGCTAACATCTGACCACGCTGTGCCCAACACGGAAACGGACCCCAGCGTCTGCAGAAGCAGCTCGTTTCAAAACGATCAGAGAGAATTTTTAGCCAAATTCTCTTTCAGGGAAATGTTGAGCAGCTGTGGTGGGAGAAAAAAACCGACTTGACTACGGAGAAGATGGTGCAGCAAACGGCTGTGTTGGTGAACAAAGCGAGTGGAGATGGTGAAATTAATGGGGCCAGGTGTTCTGGTAGGTTTTAAACTGCTCCTGGCACTGAGAAGAGTACAAAGAAGCTGAATAGGGCATCGAAAATTTAAAGAAGAAATTACAGAATTGAAGGGAAAAAAAAAAACAAACAAAGACCGGGACAGCTGAATGAAACTGTGAGTCTTAGAAAATACAGGTGACTAGGAAAACTGTGAATGGTAGGGCACAATACAAGCAAACGCAATTTTAGCTAGAATTGCCAAAAACTAAAGGTACTCGTAAGATCTGGCAAGATTAAGGTAGTGCAAACAGTAAACTCTGTAACAGAGGAGGCAGGCAATGTATACGTTAAAGCTGCGGCTTCGGACTGTAACAGAATCTTGCCCCCACCACGCTCTGTATTTTCAGCACCCTCCGGACATCCCCACCCCGCAGCAATGGCGCATGCGCTGCGCGGACGTGCCGCTTCCCCACAGCACGTCTCACTGAACGGTCTCTTGGAAACTTTGACAGCGAGTGTGCTTGTTCTTTTACGAGACCATTTTAAGAATGATTTGTAAGACCGAAAAAAGCAACTGAAAACTCCTGTTGACTGACTACAGTTAAACGCCTCCTCCCAAGCCTTTGGTAAGTTCAGTTCTGCTTTTCCAAGCAGATGGCCGGATGGCCTAATACAGCCAAAAAGAGACGAAACGCCCTGCAAAAGGTGTCACCTGTCTGCCTTCTGCTTCACCACATGCACAGTTAGGTAGCTTGTTGCCAAAACAACCCAGTCACTGTTACCTATGAGAAACTAGATGGCTTTTTTTTTTACATGTAACAAGCGGCTCCCACAGACATTACATTTACGCGAATCCTGTACAACAAAATCCACGTTCTGCGCAGTACGTATTTCAGTAAAACGCTTTGCTTTTTATGCTGCTACGCCTTGACAGTTCATAAATAAGGGTCACGAACGCCAGAGCTGGCTGACATGGTGCCACGCTGTTAGAAGCCTACGGCTCCACCCGGGGTTCTCAATTAGTCGCTCCCAAATGCTGTTGAGCGATTTTAAGGGGAAAAAAAAAAAACAAGAAAAAAATCCCGCCTCGGCAGGCAAGGGGATTAAGGCAAGCACAGGGCACCTCACGCTTGTTTCTCAGCTCCCAATACTTTCAGAGCTAGCAGGAAGAAGGGTTTAACCCGACAGCTTAGGTTTTTGTTTTGTTTTTTTTTGTTTTATCCCCCCCCGTTGCGGGTGGCCGGCGGATTCTGCAAAGCGGGGTCGCAGAGACCGAGCGTAAAG